ATAGTGTAGTTTATAGAGTATAGAGTATAGAGTAGTAGTAGTTTAGAGTAATATTATAGTATAATGTAGTTATATATAGTATAGAGTTGCAGTAATATATTGTACTATATATTGTTTAGTGTAGTTATATAGTAGTTGTAGTGTAGTGTATTATATAGAGTATAGACTAGTAGTAGAACAGTGTAGTATATGTAGTATAGTGTAGTAATATAGTGTAGTTATATAGTATAAAGTAATAGTAGTATAATGTAGTTATATAATATAGAGCAGTAGCATATAGAGTATATTAAATTTATATAGCATAGAGTAGTAGTATAGTATAGTATATATAGTATAGAATAGTAGTATAATATAATATATAGAGTATAGAGTAGTAATAGTATAGAGTAGTATTATAGTATAGTATAGTTATATGGTATAATGTAGTTATATAGTATAGATTAGTAGTATAGTATATATTATTAATGCTAGTATATATATAATATAGTATAGTGTAGTAGTAGTATAGTATAGTTTATATAGTATAATGTAGTTATATAATATAGAGTAGTATTATAGTATAGTGTAATTATATAGCATAAAGTATTAGTAATATAGTGTAGTATATATAGTATAGAGTTATAGTAGTATAGTGCATTATATATAGTAAGGAGTAGTAGTAGTATAAAATAGTATTATCGTATAATGTAGTCATATATTATAGTGTAGTTATGTAGTATAAATTAGCAGTAGTATGTTGTAGTAATTGTATAAAGTAGTATTATAGTATAATGTAGTTATATTATATAGAGTACAAGTAGTATTGTGTAGTATATACAATATAAAGTAGTTATATTGTAGAGTAGTAGTAGTATAGTGTAGTTTATATATAGTATAGGATTATATAGTTGTAGTAGTATTGAGTAGTATATATAGTGTAGAGTAATAGTAGTATAGTGTAGTTATATAGTATATGATAGTTGTAGTATAGTGTAGTATATATATAATATGGTGTAGCTATATAGTATAAAGTAGTAGGTATAGTGTAGTATATATAGTATAGAGTAGTATTATTGTATAGTGTAGTTATATAGTATAGAATTATTGTAGTATAGTGTAGTATATATGGTATAATGTAGTTATATAGTATAAAACAGTAATAGTATAGTGTAGTTTATAGAGTATAGAGTAGTAGTAGTTTAGAGTAATATTATTGTATAATGTAGTTATATATAATATAGAGTTGCAGTAGTATATTGTATTATATATAGTTTAGTGTAGTTATATAGTAGTTGTAGTGTAATGTATTATAGAGTATAGACTAGTAGTAGAACAGTGTAGTATATGTAGTATAGTGTAGTATATATAGTATAGAGTAGTAGTAATATAATGTAGTTATATATTATAAAGTAATAGCAATATAGTATAGTTATATAATATAGAGCAATAGCATATAGAGTATATTGTAGTTGCATATAATATAATGTAGTATATAGTATAGATTAGTAGTAATGTAGAGTGGTATTATTGTATAGTGTAGTCATATAATATAAAATAATAGTATATTGTAGTTTATATAGTATAGTGTAGTTATTTAGTATAGAATAGTAGTAACAGTAGTATATATATAATATAATATAGAGTAGTAGTAGTATTATTGTGTAGAAGAGTAGTAGTAGTATTATATATAGTTTAGTGTAGTTATATAGTATAGAGTAGTCGTAGTAGTATATATGATAGAGTGTAGTTATTTAGTATAGAGTAGTAGTAGTATGGTGTAATATATAAAGTATAGTGTAGTTATATTGTATAGAGTATTAGTAATATAGAGTAGTAGTAGTATAGTATAATATATAGAGTATTAAGTAGTAGTATAGAGTATTATTATAGTATAGTGTAGTATTATAGTATAGTGTTGTTATATAGTATAGTGTAGTTATATATATAAAGTTGTATTAGTATAGTGTAGTTATATAGTATAGAGTAATAGTAGCATAGAGTAGTATTATAGTGTAGTGTAGTTATATAATATAAAGTAGTAATCAAGCTCTCAACTTTTTAAAACAAGAGTATAAAGTAATAGTAGTATAGTGTTGTATATATATATATATATAGTTTTATAGTATAGAGTGGTGGTAGTATAGTGTAGTATATTTAATATAGAGTAATAGTAGTATAGTGTAGTATATAGAGTATAGTATAATTATATAGTATAGAATAGTAGTAGTATATATAGAATAGTGTTGTTATATGGTATATAATAGTAGTAGTATAGTGTAATATATATATAGTATAATGTAGTTATATAATATAGAGTTGTAGTAGTATTGTGTAGTGTAAATATAGTATATAGTAGATATATAGTATAAAGTAGTAGTATAGAGTAGTATTATAGTATAGTGTAGTTATATAGTAGAGAATAGTTGTATTATATATATTATAGAGTAGTATAAATAGTATTGAGTAGTAGTATAGAGTAGTATTATAATACTCTTTAGTTATATAGTATAGTGTATTTGTATTTAGCATAGAGTAGTAGTAGTATGTTTGTAGTTATATAGTATAGTGTATTTATATTTAGTATAGAGTAATAGTAGTATAATGTATATATATATATATATATATATATAGTATAGAGTAGTATTATAATATTTTGTAGTTATATAGTATAGTGTATTTATATTTAGTATAGAGTAATAGTAGTATAATGTAGTTATGTAGTATAGAGTAGTTGAAGTATAGTGTAGTTGAAGTATAGTGTAGTATATATAGTATAGTGTAGATATATAGTATAGAGTAGTAGTATAGGGTATTATATATAGGATAGAGTAGTATTATCATATAGTGTAGTATATATAGCATTGAATAATAGTAGTATAATGTTGTATATATGATATAATGTAGTTATATAATATAGAGTAGTAGTAGTATAGAGTAGTATTATATGGTGAGCCAATGATTGTTGAATCTACAACCCAAGCTCTTTGTGATCTTGCTCTACTGTTTGGTGAGGGTGATGATGAATCTATGGTTAGTATTCTGATAATATTGATTTTTTCTTTTAGTTATTTTTCTTTTTCTTATGCATGGAATTTCTCCTCTTCAAGGAAAAGAAGAGCCCACAAATATTTGCTTTCAGCCTGCTTGTATATATGAAACCCAAATCGCCTATGGCATCATAGTAATGGAAGGAGTTATGCTGGATATTCACATGTGTTTTTGTATCATGTTTCATAAATCGTCAAAGTTTTGCAATGTCAACAAATTGCAATGAAGTTTTAAGCCCTTTCTTGGTTAACTAAAATCTTGAAACTCTTGTTTTTTGATTGACCTGATCAAGCAATCTGAGGATGTTTGCAGCTTGTGAACTTTGATACATATGTGGTTACTTTAATATAATATGAGGCGTTTCAGAATATTTTTTCTTACATGATGTAAGATGCTAAAGCAAGTAACACCCGAAAGAGTAGTTGGCAGCATGAAACAATTCTTCTGTTAATGCCTGTAAGCTCAATTATGATTTGCAACTTGTCACATTTGATTAGTCTTTCGTAACCAACAAATTGAACAAATTGAATGCACAGACGCAAGGTTGCAATGCAGAACCCAAAACTAGGTTGATGGAAAAAATATAATTTTGAGAACCTTTGTAATAATCCTGTGTTTAGCCTGGATAAAACATTAATTAGTAACTTTATTTTGCTTTTCTTGTGAAAAAAGAAACATAGAAGAAAATATAAAATTTAAAAAAATTACGAATATAATATTAGAATTGCTTGAAAGCAATATCACCTTTTTAGCTACTTGTTTCTTTTTCTAATTGTTTTTTTCTTAATGCACATATGTACTAGAACGACAGTCAGACTTATGTTCACTTGGAAGTTGGAAGACTTTCCAGAACATATTGTATTAATGTTTTGTATTAACCAAAAAATCTAAAGAAAATGCATCATTAGATATGTATTTTTTTGTTATAGTTTCATTTTAGTTGATTTATTTGCACTTCGTTTAGTTTTTGCAAGCAGCTGATCAGAGATGTATTGGGTTGAAATCTTATTTGCTTGTCGTTGATCTCCATTGACCCATCATTTCATTCTTATGTTAATGATTTTAGTTTTATTGATTTATTCCTCCATACTCTCCATTGATATGTGTTTTGTAAGTGAAGATTAAAATGGATGGTTTTTAGATACACGAAGGCTCTCTCCAATGGTGTTTTATGCCGTTTATATTTTTTATAAAACCGAAAGTCTACCAGTCTATTTGTATTTAGTCAATTTTCAACCCAAATTCAATGACAAGATGAAAACACTGTTTCAATTTGATCACAAATTTCAACCCTATACAAGATTTCATTTTATGTTCCAGGCTTTTCTTTTTGCTATTGCTGTGCCCATGTTGCATCTACTTTGCAATTTATCAACTTCTTAATTTCTATCTTATTACCTAATACACAGCTATACTTGAGTAAGAAACATTGTTTTGACCACTTGGGACCTCTCGTCAAATTCCCTTTTAATTATTGCTAAACATTTTTCGTGGTTTCTTTAACAGGATAGAAGATCTAATCAAATTCTAGTAGTAATGTTTTGCGGAGATCAATAATGCCTTTCAATATGACCCTTGCTAATTTTTACCTCTTAATAAATCAGCATTTTGATGCTTAGGTGTTTCAGAAGTGTCCTGCAGGTCATATGCACTAGGTGCTTATCAAGGCTAAACTTGCTTTTCTTTATGTGTTTATTTTAAACCGGATTGCAAGAGTATTCATGTTTTTTTTTTAAAAATAAAATTTTCTGAAATTTGTGACTAGAATTGTATGCTTCTAAATCTCGCTTATTCAGGATATAATCACTGAAACTATTGCTTTCTAATTCAATAGTGTGCAGACACAAAAACATATGCATTATCATCCTTTCTTAGTGTTTATGTTGTTATATTGTTTATTATTGTTGCCGATTCTTTCAGAATTCAAGGAGCTTGAGGCTGTTATTTAAAATTAAATAACCTTTATTTTGCAGTCACGGCCTTTTGGAGTGTCACTTCTTATTGCAGGTCATGATGAGAATGGGCCTAGTTTGTAAGTACTTAAATATTTAAGTTCTTTTGCATTGAACAATGTTTATTTTTGTATCTTCTGTAATATAGGATATTAACTTTCATATTAAAATATTTATTTTATCATGAAATCAGAAAATGTGACTCACTTTTGTCACTTGTGTGAGTAGTTCAACTCTCAAGTGAATTTGAAGGCCCTATTTGTTGATTGTTTCTGGATTTTGCTGATTTGATTTGGTGCTTTGTGTGGTTATTTTATGTAGCTAATTTAGGCGCTTAGTTTCACCATTTATTAATTTATTCTTGACCCTCATTACTTGTCCCAAGCCCCTTCAATTTGCATGTTTATATTAAGTTGATATTCACTCATTGAACTTATGCCAAAATTGATAAATTTAATTCAAATATAAATTTTTCTATTGCGTGGCAGTATCTAGAAGTGACAATCCTTAAACTAACCCAAATGTGGTGAGAATAGGTAATTGTTTGCTAGGATAGTTCCTATAAGATACATGTCACGGTTTAACATGAGTGTCGGTGAAGTAGAAAATGGTTTGCTAGAATGCTATCCACAAGTGACAAACAATGACACCTAGTTTGATGTAAAGTAGAAAGAGTTGTTATGTATAAAATTAAATTTTGTTTTACTAAGTAGATTTTGGCACTTTAAAAGGGAAGATGAGTGAATTAGTTGATGGGATGATTAGATGAAAATTTAGTATCGCTTGTTTATTTTAAAAAATCAAATGTAAATTGACCCATGAGGATCTTAATAAAATTTGCAAGTTTAATCTTCAGAGGATACATCTACAAAAAAAAAAATTGAGGGTGGATTATAATAGCAAAAAATTGCAATTTAAAATTAAAAAAATAATGCAGGTAGCCATGACATTATAGGGAGAGAGAATTAAGTGGAGTGAATTAAGCAAGCTCTCCTAAATTTTTTGCTTAATATTCTACTCCTTATGCCAATGGGACAATCAATTTTTCATTGAGAGAATCAAGGAAATTTTTTATTTGTAAGGGATGATTATCCATAATTCAAACGTTTCATAGGATATTTAGGGCAAAGTTTGTAAAATTTGTGCATTTATTTGGATTGTGAATTGATATGAATTGTGTCCTTTTGTTCTATAAGTATGAGGTGTTAGAATGTAAAGTTCAAGTGGAAATAGTTGAATAATTGTTCTCCTAAATTCTCTTTGAGGTTTCAATCAAGGCTCTCTAGGATCCTATCTCTCATCTCCATTTTTATGCTGTACAAGGCTCAGTCCAAAGCATAGGCATGGTTTTTAAGCCATCATCGAGTCATCCCCTCTCTCCTCTTAGGAGATCAATTTAATTTCTTGAATTACATCATAGTATCCTTATTTTGCTTGATGAAGATATTTCTTATCGGTTCCACTTCTTTCACATCCCAATCCTAGATATGTTGATATATATATATATATAACTTAAAAAAAAAGTAGATACTCGATCAGATGACTACCATGATAGTTATTTATGAAAAGCTTGTTGCCAAGCTATTACCACTAGCACGCCATAATAAAAAAGGAGAGATAATAAAGGAAAATATCAAAGAGCACTTATTGATGAGGATGTGAACTAAAGAGGACTACGAAGTGTGTACCAGAGTGGATTATAGGATAAGTACCAACGAAAGTTGGGCTGAATAGACTTAACATGCTATTGAGATAGGTTTGATGAATTCTAAGGAGGGAATTAGGTTTTTTGAAAATACATTAAAGGAGGAGGAGAGGAGATTTTTTTTTCCTTTTTTATGTATCAATCCTTTTATTATGGTACAATTTATTACTTAATATTACACATACTTTTCACCTTTATTCAACATTGATCTCTTTATAATCAATCAAAACATGCCCGTTTTATTAAAAAGGTTGGCCATCTTGCAAATTAATTTTGCCAAAGAAACTAATGTTTGGTCATCATGCAAATTGGTTATGCCAAATAAACTTTTTTGATGGATTCTATCAAATGGAAGTATTATCAGGTGGGATGATCAATTCAAATGGACGAGCTATTTAGCTTGGATAATTTTTTTTTTCAACATAATTAATATCAACATCAATAGCAAGCGTTTATACTATTTCTAAGTTATCATTATTCTTTGATTAATTCCATTAATAGAAGCAAATGGCATAAACGAGGAGCCATGAACTAGTAGGCTCTTAAGAAAATTTGCATGGGTTACTTTCAACGGATAAATTTATAAATAAAAATTGAGGAATGATTAAAATTATAAATTTTGTAATTTAGGATTTCAAAAGAAGGATAAAGACAGAGTAAGTTGAGAGAATCAAGAAAATTATCTTGAAGGTACTACACAAAACTCTCCGCTTTATTTGAAGTGGTTGGTAACCTTTCATGGAGAAAATCAATGAGGTTTTCTATTGCAAGTGATGATTATCCATAATCTAAATTTTAGCATATTTAGGATAATGTTTCCTAATTTTTTGCTTTTTGTTGGATTGTGATAGATATGAATTGGATCTTATTTTTTTTATAAATATGAAGCCTTTAAGATCTAAAATTAAAGTGAAGGAATTGAACTCCCTTTGTTAATTTCCATCTCTTAGCAATCAAGATTTATACTTTATCATCTTCATTATCATGCCATCCAAGGCTCACACAAAGCATAGGGCACATGGTTCCAATTGGTGGGCTGCCCACTTATCTTCTCTCTCTCTTCTGAGTTGGATTATGATTTAATATTTTTTTATTCTCCCATAGAATTCTTATTTCCTGGAATTAAATATTTTATTCTGATTTGACAAGCCTAGTACACCCAAATCCTAGATCATAAAGGGCAAGACAAATCTAAAGATATTTTTGTTGAGGTTATAAGATTTTGTATGTTGGGAAGCTTAACAATCTAATTGGGATATGAATAATAGTGGATGTACAATTAAATGATAAAATATTTAGATGAATGGGTTAGTAATGAGATGTTTGTTATTTGTGATACGACAATTATTATTAAATTTTAGTGGTTAGTTTTATGCTTCCTAAGTTGTACTAGTAGATAGTTTAAAAAATCAAATTTTTTGTAAAAAGTGACAAACTATTACAACATATGTATGTTTGAAAAATATATGATAATTATTAGTGTTACTTAGTTGGACATACATATGAAAGATACAACAAGAACAAGAACAACAACAACAAGTCAACAACATCAAGCCTTTATTCACTTTGTGGGGTCGACTACATGAATCATTTTTTGATGCAGGCAAGTGGAGTCAAATATTTTGAGTTTTAATTTTGTTGAGTTTTTTTTATCTTCTACTAAAATAAGCTCATTAATGAGCTTCTTCTACTTATTTAGATCATAAATTGTCATCATTTGGTTCATTACCCCTTGCCTTTGTCTCTTTGGTTTCTTCTTGTGTCTCTTTGGTTTCTTCTTTGAGAATAAAAAGCTGGCTCTTGAGATTTCTCCTTGGCTGTTTTCCCGTTAGTCTCTTCCCCTTCCCCTTGTCTTCTCGGTTTTCTCTTGGTTGTTGCTGTTCTGGTGAATCTCTGCCCCGTTTCCTGTGCTGGCTCATCGGGACCCTTGCTGGCTGGGCTTCCCGTGGCTTTTGGTTGGGCTTCCCGTTGCTTATTCTCCCTGTTTTCTGTGCAGATTTTTGTGGGATGTTATGGTTTCTTTTGGCCTTTCATTTCCCCTTTTTTTTATTGGTTTGAATAAAGGTAAATGGCTGTTTGGTATCCCCCTTTCTTCTTATATATAGGGGCTGATTTGAGGCTTAAAAAAGGTTGGAAAAAAAATGCAATTTTTGGATAGCAAAACCTGAGGGTTTTTGAAAAAGCTTGATAGCTTATTCCACTTCTTCTTCTTCTACTTCTTGGGAAGGCTTGCGAGCTTCTCTGCTCTTCGTCTCGGCTTCTAATCTATTACTTCTATCCGCAAGTGACCACCCCACCTGTATCTTCTTCTCGATCCAAGAAAAGCAGTTTTAGGAAAGTCGTTGTATCTTTATTTTATCGTTTGTAAGCGTTAAAGGTTTGTAAGTCTTTTATATTATAAAGTGAAGTTTATTTTTGGTTTATTTGTTGTATTTTGTGTCCTTTTGGGTATTTTGTGTATTTTCTATTACCTAGGAAAGTATAGTTTGTGCTCGCAAAAATTTGGGAAGGGCTCGCAAAAGTATAGTTTTTTCTCCATTGTGTGTTGTTAAGAGTTAAATTCTTATTTAAATCTAATAAAAAAAGGTCATTTCTGATATTTTCTAAGTCTTTTTTGGTCTACTTCTATCTTTCTTAACATAAGTTAAATCTAACACATTTACTTCCCTAACCGGGTCATCGGAAGACTGCCGTTTTATGTTACCAAACCATTTAAGTCTACTCTCTCTAATCTATCTTCCACTGTAGCTACTTCAATCTTTTCACGTATATGCTTATTTCGTATTCTGCCTCTAAGAGTAAAGCCACTCATCCACCTGCGCATCCTCATCTCTGCAAGAGTTAACTTAACATTATACTTCTCTTTTAATGGCCAACATTCTGCACCATAAAGCATTGCAGGTCTAACCACCATCTTATAGAATATTCCCTTTAAGTTTGAGGACTTTTCTATCACACAACAAACCCGATGCATTCCTCAACTTCAACCATCCAACTTGAATTATACTAATAATATCCCCATCAATATGAACAATAGACCTATGATATTGATAATGTGTACTCTTATTAATGACTTGATCACCATTAATCACCCACGCCACATCCTATGCTCCATAACTCTCTCCTATAGTTTTAAAGTATGACACATTAACTTCCTCTATAATTCACACAATCTTGTGCATCACCTTTATTCTTAAAAATAGGAAACAACGCACTCATTCTCCACTCTTTTTAGTTTTTAAAATAATATTAACAAGTTTAGTAAGCATGAAATTCCTTCATCTCCTAAGCATTTCCACACCTCTATTGGAATATCATTAGATCCGACAGCTCTTCCACACTTCATTTTATTTAAAATCTCTCTAACTTTGGTTT